ACATTGTTCATCTGAGGAGGGATTAGAATGTGCGACTGCAGCACACAGAATACACGACTACTTTCAGATTTAGTTCACAAAAGTCAGTAATATAGGATTTAATTTCTCTTTATATAAACTTGTTTATTAATGAAAATCTGGTACTGGTCTGTAGGGATAAAGATTCTGTAAGTTGTAGATTTTCAGGCTTCTGTCATTGATATAAAAATAGAACATGTGCACTGTGGTAGAGTATAATTCTATCATGGGTAAAATTTGGTAAACATCATCAGTAAATATTACTGTATAACACTGTGAGACTTTACCAAAATCAATTTTGCTCATAACAGAATTTCAGACTTCTAATTTTTCTGGTTATTTTGGACATACATGTCAATTTAGAATAACAATTTGTTTTCACAGATGACTTTTTAATCCTAATTTCTGGCTTATCCAGTGATTTTGCTATCCCCTGTCTAAATATTTACCTCATATCTATTGTTTAACTGAATGTAGGCGATTATTTTAGTTTAATTTGAAGCTTATATATGCCCAAACCAAGTTCACTTTTAACGGTTTGAAGCTTGTTTATAATACTATAAAAGACGACGTTTATATGAATATCTTTTACGAGGTTGATTGAACTTTCCCAGTATAATGAAGTGCATTAGATTAATTTGGGTGATTTTTGCTGATAGTTTATAAAAAGAAAACCTATTATCGTAATGAAAACAGGTTAAAAAATTGATTTTCTGTTTAACAAACCGTCAGGTGTATTAGCTTAAATTTTGGGACATATTATATACAATCTATTGGCTATAACTTATTGACTGCTTTGATTTCTTCACAAGTAGATATAAGCTGAGTATTATATTCAAACTCCAGCAATATTTACGGGCATTTTCATCCTCCTCTTTAACTAGCAATAAAAATGCATAAAAGCCATACACAGGTGGTGTGTTTGTGTGCTGTCTTGTTGTCCAAGACTTTCCTTCAGATAACTGAAAACTCTTTAACATAAATTATGCTTTTTTGACCAAATTAATTTGTGCACCATACAAATACAACGAGATAAGCCAGTAGACTACAGTTCAGTCACTTTTCTGAGTGTTATTAGTATGCTTACTTTTCACCACTCGCCTCATCGTGTTTCCTTAATTTGGTCTTAAGCCAAAGTAAGTAAGACAGTTTTGAAAATAAAAGGAAAAGAAATAATTTTATTCTTTTGCTTACTGTTTGTTTGTTCAGTGGTCGTTCATTTATCAAATATTCTTTCTCATATTATTACATCACATTAAATTTAATCGGGGCAATTCTACTAATATATATTTAATATATATATATATATATATATATATATATATATATATATATGCAAACATTTTATTTTACTTTCCTTCACTTTTTCGTGACGATGAACCATTTCTCTGATTTGATACAGTGTGATTACCAGCACTAAACTGATTTTTTCTAAGTAATTGTTATCAACATTTAATTGTTCATTATCACTGTCACATTCCCAAAGCTATATTTTATATGGATAAATCAAGGGATAAGATGAAGTCATTGATAATTATGAAAAATCAGTAGATGGATGGATTATGCACATTATTATCGTGGTCATCGCTTTTCATCATGAAAGCAATATATTTTCACATGCTGTCCATACTTAATACAAGATGATCACAATAAACTTTACCTAGTTAGATGAAAGAGAGAAATACTACTGTTACTGTTTTAATTTCTACAAACACTGCAATAAACGCACACTTCTTTGAGGTGGGAAAACTCTCCACTAATATCCCTTATTATATAGATATTATATTTTGAAACACCTAGTACCTCAAAAAGCTTAATCAATAGAATCAATGGAAACAACATTTAATGGATTTATAAATTTCAACATCGTCCGTCGTGCACCGGTGGAACAACGTTAGAATACTCGCTGACCACGCATGTGGTTCAGGGTTCGATCCCCGGCCGATACACCTCTTCACCTCACCAAACCCGTCATAAGACTGGTAAAGAGGGAAGACTAGGCATGAGACTAGCAACCCCATCCTGTATAAATAAACACCATTGCTACCGAAACTTCGAGTCTCTCCCTTAAAGCCTTATGTTCCCCTGGGAACGTAAAGCAATAAATGTTTTTAAAAAAGAACATTGTCCGTTAGCTATGGCTAATCAAAAAAGCAACATGCAATCTTAATGCAGACTATGATATCCAGTGAGGCCTCGCAAAACAAGATGAACAGCACATGTGGGTCAAATGGAACTGCTAATATGTTGTAAAATCGGGAGGTCTAGAAGTGAATTATTCAATTTTGAAAACTTCAGGCAATTCAATTTTGATTGGATTAATAAAAATCGGATATGAACAAATGAAGTTGATTAGACACTAATACTTTGATAAAGCTTTTAGCATTAAATAGCGAAACGTCAGTAAAAACAATATCGTTTTGTTTTTCATGCATTGGGAAATAAAAAAAACCTTTATTATATTGATTAAACACTAATAATGAAAATGATACCATTGTTACTTGGCAGTAATTGATCATTTAAGTTGAGAAGTTGAGAGTAATACGTCGTTTTCGAGATCAATTATTAGTCTTGCCAACGATAATCTTTGGTGTGCTAACTGAATAATAGTCATATGAATATGAATCAAATCAGTACACGAAGATGAAAAGAGTATATCCAGCATGATGGAATCTACTGTGGTAGATTCAGGGTGGTTGTCATCTTCCGCATTCAAGGACTCAGCCTACGAACTCGGTTGATTCAGTCTACCACAGTTAACTAGTAATGGTGAATTTTTTGTTCTTAATGCTACAAAGGCTTTGTTATAGGACGTCATTAGACTCTCCCTTCAGTAAAGCTTATCACTTTAACTATATGTTCAGTCATATCAGCAGACTAGTAACTCCGCGTTTGTCTCCACAATTAAATAAGAATCAATGAATATATTTTGGAGTGTTGAAATTCGGGGTCCTATTTTTCTGTGATTTTTGCATTATTAGCTTGTCGGTACTTTGATATTCTTTCTGACTCATTAATTCAAAGATTAACAAGGTTCATTAACAACGCAAGTTGACTTTCTTCATAGAGTTTTCCCTTAGCTGGTGAATTTTCGTTACAGCTTCGAACACCATCGTTCCTCATTCTTTTTTATTTACAAAGGGTTAGAAAATATTTCCTAATCATTCCATTCACGCAATGTTGGTTATTCATTGTTGTTAACACTGGTTTTATTCATCACTAATGGCGTTGTTCATAAATGTTTAAGTTATCTAAAAAGAACAAAACATTAATGGATATCAGTCAGCAAAAGTGTAAAATGCTTAGTGACTGTATAACTTTGCTACTTTGTCATTTACTTGAGCTTCACGCATTCAGGACTCGTTTATGGTATCATGTATACCTAGTGAGGGAGAGAGTGAAATAAATAAAAACCTTGGTTTTTATCACACAGGAAGCAGAGTCCTACCTTCTTAATACAAATGAACAATTGAAATGTTTTGACGAGTAAATTTCTTTGCGACTTTGGTAATGTGGCATTTTATGTAGACTTCTTATCATACACCAAAGGAAGAACAAATTCTGTCTGTCTGTTTTCAACATAGAACGTTGCACCGATGTGCGACAGTTCAAGTCGCCACACTCCATGTAGCACACAAAGCAACAGAAGAAAGGAGAAGAAATGCATAATAGAGACAGTAAACAGAGGTGTGACACAAAGGAAGAGTAATAACAAAGAACAAAACAGTTTCATTGGAAATCATAAGTAACAAGGAGTGGATGCATCTGCGGTAGCTATTGAGAACAACTTCGAGCCATATCACCGACTGTTTCCAACCATTGGTTTTTACCGTCCCGTGGACCCCAATCAGGAAGCCTACACCTTCCTACGTGACTGGCTTAGACTAACTGTTGTGGATTTCATTGAATGGTGCTATGTTTTGGTTTGACCGCCACTACCTCTTTTCCAGCCTGACTCTATGTCAGCTAACATTGCCCATTGTCGAGGAAGGTGGTGACTAGGCATACGTAACACATGTCCTAACCATCTCAGTCGATGTAGCTTCACAGCCTCGTCGATTGATTTCTCCTCCTTTCCTAGCACTCGACGCCTAACCTCAATATTGCTTGACTTGTTATACCACTTCACACGGGTGATAGAGTGATAGTGATCAAAGACAGCTAATCTTTTCATGTCAAAACAAATTAAAGTTTGTCAAACTGTATTCTCATAAATATTCTATTTGTAAGTTGATTACTTCTGATAAAGGTTGAAGAGAAAAAACATAAACAATTTACTTTGATCTCGTGCAGACAATCCTTAGATGTGGGGAATCCAGGATAGATTGCTCTAAATTATTTAATATAGACATTTATGTTAATAAAATATGTAGGTAGCACCAACTTGAAGTTTTAATCAATTTGGCAGCAAATTAAAACTAATTGAAATAGTTAAAAGTAGCTGATGTACAAAACTGAAACATCAGAGTTTTCAGCAGTTCTCCAAGAATCGATTTTCTGTATATTAAATAGATCACGTATTATTTGTTTAAATGAGCTGTGATTAGTATCTGACAATTTTCATTGTTTGTGAAGTATGCTTTAAATATGTATACTCTAAATTTAGGCAAACATTGTCAAATGGAAGGACGATAAAGTTCGTCAGAGAGAGAGAGAGACAGAGAAATAAACGGTTGCTCAGTCTTTCTCTGTGTACTTCTCTGTATGTGTGTGTGTGACAAGTTCCAAATCACTTAAAGTTGTCAAAATAAATCAATACAAGCACGTGAGAAAAGACTAGAGTAATTTTAGTTAACTAATCACATGAGTGTAGTAGATGATAAGTGATGAAAGTCGACATCATTATTGTTATTGTTACTATTATTATTTATTTATTTACTTATTCGTTTAAAAGATATACATGTTAAATTTTACATTTAGCTGTTTAGTGCTGTCGCTATTACTACTTTTTACTGTATGTTTTTAAACTGTTTTTTATACAGTTCACGAATTACTAAGCAGTGGAATGTGTCCAGATGTAGCCAACGAAGATGGATTGACAGCCTTACACCAGGTTAGTTTATGATTTTATTGTTAGTATTTTTTCTATCATTCCTTAGATGAATGGCTTTTTTCTAATGGTTTTCATGGGTCATTTTTGTGGTCAAAATAACTGTCAAAACAATAAGTTATCACTGCACAGTTGTCTCATTCTGACTAGAGTTGGAAGATTCACCAAATAAATTCATAGTTACGAACTACCAGCCAGTAAAGACTCATACTGCCTAATCTTCATCCAGAGCTGTTGTAAGAGCAGTATGACAGAGCTAGCACACATTTACCAGAATGCATATTATTAACTTTTTCTGGTTAAAATGACGTCGGTTTAGACCTAGTGACCTGCATTTCCTCCTAATCTAACTTTTACCAAATTCATACCAGACACAAAAGCTTGCATTGTGGACCAATGAATATTTTTCTTTGTCAGACCGCCTGCTTTTTATGAGAGTGTTGGTTCGTCTAACCTCAATGGTATGCGCCTCCCGAGAACAACAGTGTAACCACCTGAGAACTTGAAAATGTCTCCCACAGCGAAACAGACGCAGAAGTCAGACTGGGAAAAACGACAAATGAAACGATAACAATGTTTGTTTGACAAATACATGGTATGTTATATATTTACCGAAAACGCATAAATTTAAGGTGTAAATGGAAAAAATCTGATGGTTGTATGATATCTCAATCCATCAGAAAATCAAGTCATAAATAAACGAATCTAAACTGTCCAATAAGGTTATCATGTCAGTACAAGCAAAAATCACGACTTCATGGATAACAAAGAAGCTTGCCCCTCCTAATGCCTCCCCTTTTAACTAGTTCTTGATTGTGAAACCACGAGATGATACTCCTAAATTGCGCTTGCATAGTACAGAATTTCTTTTGTTCCTCATTTACATCCAACCGTGAGGCCACTAGCTATGATTCTGAACCACTGAATGATAATCAGATTGTGTGAATTTGTTGCTTAAAATACTTTAAATACTATACTATATATATTCTTTCATGACCAATTACTTATCTTAGTGATGTACCTGAAGTGTAATGCATTTTATCTTAATTTTAACCTCTCATACTCTCTCCCCCGTTATCAATTTGAACATGACCTGGAAAATATTCGCACCTGTCTTTCTGTATGACTAATTCAATGCAGTTTATTTGCTTATCAGTCTTATATCTCTCAATGTAATTTCAAAAGTATATATATCCGTGTATGTAGAGTATTCAGCTGATGAGTTCTACCGAAATTTGATGAATTCATCAAATCCTGCTCTATTAACCTTTGTTGCTTGTTTCAAATTAGTAATGGGAAATCAGTGTCTTCAATTCTATAAATTAGTGGTTGGAAACTCATTCTAACACGACTCGAAATCGTTCAAAAAAACTTAGACATATTCACTCCCACGTAACTTCGAAAGTTTGAGCGTTTTCTTTTACCTTTATCTCATATTTGTGTTTGACGTGATCCTGTTTGTCTGCTGAGTATTTTGTTTCTGTCTACTTCTCTTTTGTCCTGTTTAGAAATATGGCAGCTTGGACTTGTACACTTCTGTGTAATATTCTATTTCCATCTGTCAATCAGTCATCTTCAAATTACTTCCTGGTTGACTAGTTACTGTTAGCTAAATATTGTGTCGGACAAGGTGTGATAAATACTCAGGGGATATTTTAAGATCTAGATTTCTTCAGTTTAAGAACTTAACTAAAAGTAAATTCAGTAGGAATATATGAGTCCCTACCTAATCCTTACTGAAATATTCTACCAAATGGTTTTGCTGTCTAGCTGAATTTATTGTTTAATAATTTTGCACAGCTCTTCAGTATCTAGAATCTGATTTGATAGAAATGATTGACTAACAGTGTAGTAGACTAGTGAATTAACTTTGCAGTCAGAATTATCTACTCTAAATATATATCTATATCTGATTTTCTGGAGAGTTACTCTCAATTCGAAGGAGATTTCTTGTATGTGTTTAAACGATAGACCAGTGTGTTTTTTAGTAGAATCTCAAGCATTCCTCACGTTTTGCATTCATAACCAATTGTGCTTACAGCATAAACTATTCGTGATTCAGAATTATAGCATCCGTGATAATAAAAATTAATAGGATAAATAGTGTAAAGTTAAACTATATCTGTCGTCGAAATCTACTGCACTTATCTGATCTTCAGTGTTCAATTATCTACTCATTCATTTGAGCATTAGCTTTTTATACATTCCCTAAATGCAATAACTATTAGTTATACCTTACTAGCTGTTGACTAAATAACTTTCTGCATACACGCAGCTTTGGTTCGAGAATTAGAATTGGAGATTTTCAACTAGGAAATGGAAAATACCACTAATTATTCATTCACTCATATTTATAGGCTCAAGGTAGGAAGAATTTTTCAATAGTTCAAAAATTCAAACAGCTACAGTCAAGTAATCGAGAATAAGTAACGATATTTTTACAGTTTCGGAAAATCGGCTAACATAAAGACAACTTTCATCCCAAAACGAGACAGACTTAGAAAACGATATGACTTATGGGATCATTGAAGTCAGGATTGTTTGTAAATGTCTAAAACTAACATTAGTTTATGGTCATGCTGGGATAAAAAACGACGAAAGTTAGTATGTGTAGATCATTTGAGTCATAGTATGTAAGTGAACATACTTCAGTCATTAAATTTTAGAAAAGCCACCAGCCACTCACGTGGTCCAGGTTCGATGTCCGTTAGATGCAATTTTTAACAGCCTGGTTTACTAGCTGGTGTTAAGCATAGTGGTTGGCAATCACACTTCTTGAAAAAACACGGCTGCTGAAACTTTGAAAGTTTGTAGCCTGATGATTCACTGAAAACGCAAAGAATGAAAAAAATGGATAAATAGTGATGTAGCCTACTCCCGCTCTGAAATTATACAGGAGATCAAATTAAGCAAACAAATTCAGATGCATTAGCAGCCTTTTTATTCTAACAAACAAACATACTCACATAAAAAAAAGTCTCCTAATTAAAACACTACTTTTTTTATCGAAATTAGCTGAGATTAATTAGCAATAATTAAATTAAAGGTATTGAGAGCTATAAAAATTGGCCAGAAGTGATCCATGCAATAACCCACATCTAGTTCGTTATAATCCTACAAATATCGTGAAGTAAAAACAAATGTATATATATATATATATGTGGCGGTTCACAAAAGACAAAACAGAAACTGAACTTCTTATAGAACTCGCCACTTTTATGAGTGTTCTTTATTTCAGACGTAATATTCCCCTATCGGCATTATTATAATCCATACTAGTAGTGGTGGTAGGATCAGAGAAATTGTTTTCCTCTCCTTCCCTTGTATCCAGCTAAGTTAAATTCAATAGGCAGGAAACACATAAAACTTAATTCTTTTCCTCAAGAGTATTATTTTACAATACTGAATTCCATAACTGCCTACGTATTATATTTTTATTTACTACACTTCATGTCTTCAACCACCAAAAAGTTTGAGGATTTAGATGCAAGTTTAAATAAAATAAATTATGAAGACAGGACAAATGAGATGAATATTGATATTTAGTGTTTGCAAAAGCACTTGGTTTTACAAACAAATACAACAGTGGTTGTTTGATGGTTATTTTTAGGAATGACATCTGTTTACCTTACATATATATATATATAAATTGGGAGCTGGGTTTGTTTTCACTAACTATGGCGTTTGTACACAGGAATTGATTGAGAGACTTAGAAGCTAATTCATAACCATGTTTGAATCGGCAACTTGTAGACACCCTAATAAAAACACTTTTTGATAGAATAAACCCTGACGTCTTTTAGGGGTCTGATCACTAAGACCTCGTCAGTGCGAAGTATACGGAAGCTGACTGTTTTCGTGAGGCTTCTTTTGACTTTGCAGATGACTTCGAAAGAGTTCTCCTTAAATATTGAGTGACTACTGTTGAACATATGTTCATCAATTATAGAACTCCTTGTTGATCCCATGTTACCTTTACCTAGCTAAGTAGGATAATGTTCTTTGACTCTTTTAGATAAAACACGCATCGAGCGACCTATATGTCTCGCTCCACATGAGCAAGTAAATTTATTGATACACAAAGAAGTAGGCAAAAGCGATAGTTTACCTTTAGTGTTATCGAAGAACGATAGGCGGTTTAAGATACCAATCGCAATGTAGTAGTACAGAATGTTCTTTTCCCTTGTGGGATGTCAATCATAAGGTCACTCTTTAACGCCCCACCCATGAATACCATGTTTTTCAGCACAGATACGGGTTGTTCATTGTTAATTTTCAGCTTTTTATCTATAGAGCGTGGTGGATTATTATTATTGTTGTCTTGGGTCCCGAGTGGAACACAGGGCTTCAACAACACGTCGCCACTCTGTTCTATTTTCTGACATCCTTTTCAGCCCGGTCCACGATTGCTCACAATCTATCACCTACTGCTCCTCGCCACACAACCCCCTTCATTTCACTCTCTGACCGACCACTCAACTGTCACTTGCCATTTAGATTCCACTCGAGTGATAGCCTTCATTGTACGCGATGTCATCCGACGGTCTCCTCAGTGCATGTCCGGTCCATCTACGTTTTCTCCTACATATTTGTTGAACGATCCGCTCTTCGTTGGTTTGTTCCCAGTCAAAGGAGTTTCTCATTGCTAATTCTTTCTGACCATTTGACCTTAAGTGTGGAGCCAGTCAGAGAAAGCAGCTTTGGATGAAAGTCTGCAACAAGCTGTTGGAAATGCTTTTCGTGACACGAATTACACGTTTCTGACACGTAAAGAAGAACTGACTGACTTCACATCTTGTTCTCTATGCTGACTGAGTGAAGCAAAAGATTTTCAAACTGGGTTCACGTTGATGAAGGCGTATCTTTACTTTCAGCTGTGGGCTTCCTTTGACATCTTCATCCGTTACACCAGTGGTTGAAACGATGCTTCCTAGATAAGTGAAGGAAGTCACATCCTTGAAATCTCTCCCTTTGATGGTGACTGAAGCTTGTTGTTGTTGTTGTGGTGGTGGTGGTGGTTCGTTGGTTATCTTCATCACTTCGTCTTCTCTATTTTTACCTGGATGGTGTCTTGTCTTCGCTGCCTTCCTCTTCTACCAGTGTAACAACAGAAGACAAGGGCCAGGCAACAGATCGTTTTATTATGAAAATCAACACGTATTTATACATATTTCAACAACATTATTATAGACAAGCGCAGTCATCTGATTGGTTGTTTAGGTAGACAAACGCAGGCTTCTGATTGGTTGTTTCGGGATTCCTTGACAAACAGAGTTCTCTCTGCGAATCATATTTTGCCACGTTAACTTTGCTGTGATTGGTTGCTGACTCAGCCTTGTTCATTTTTTTTTTCGGCCCATATTAGTGACCTAGACCTTAACGTAGATTAGTGCCAACCAATCGGCTAGCAGCCTGCTCTCACCACACTCGTCCCCCCGTCAAATACGTGCGACTGAAGTCGGCTTGATCTACTTGGTGCAGGCGTCATCGTTGGCTTGTCTCGCTGTATCCATTTCTGGAGCTCGCTGACGTTCACGCGCCTCTCATTGTTCGCCATTGCGACTGTGTCTGCGTAACCCCATCTCGAAGTGACCATATATGGTCCTTCCCACTTTGGAAACTGTTTGCCTGACCCTGTCGAACATTCGTCCATACTTCGGCCGACACCTTCATATGCTGCTTTCGCCCGACCTCCCAGCAGCGTCTCAAGTAGCAGCTCCATCGCTGGCAGATCTTGAACGCCACTCAACTGCGCAGAAGCCTTGAAGTCCTGCTCGAAGATCCATATGTCTCCATCAAAAACTGCAGGGTATAGGCTTTTCATTTGTCGGTAGGCAGCGACACCAAATGTAACAACAGAAGACAAGGGCCAGGCAACAGATCGTTTTATTATGAAAATCAACACGTATTTATACATATTTCAACAACATTATTATAGACAAGCGCAGTCATCTGATTGGTTGTTTAGGTAGACAAACGCAGGCTTCTGATTGGTTGTTTCGGGATTCCTTGACAAACAGAGTTCTCTCTGCGAATCATATTTTGCCACGTTAACTTTGCTGTGATTGGTTGCTGACTCAGCCTTGTTCATTTTTTTTTTCGGCCCATATTAGTGACCTAGACCTTAACGTAGATTAGTGCCAACCAATCGGCTAGCAGCCTGCTCTCACCACACCAGTGTGTTGGTTTTTGCCAGCCTGCAAGTCTTCGAGTTTGTGTGACATTAGACATATATGTCATCCACACGTGAAATCCAGATCTTCTGGAGTCTTCTTATCGATCTTGGTAGATTGTCATGCTCGATTACTGTCTTCCTCGAAAGAGTGATTTCTTCTTCTACTGACTCAAGGCAGCAGACTATACGGATTCCAGTCACAAGAGATATTAGCAGGTTTCTTTTGCGATTGATGGGTACCCAAATGTAAAAGTCTGTCAACTAGACGTTCCCTGTAGGTTTTCAATATACTGATCTGTTCAACGTCCTATCTGTCTTCTTTGTTTGTCGGACGTCGAGAAATGAGATTGTCTCTCCGGTTTCTACTTCAGCTGTAAATTTGATATCTCGTTGTCAGCTGTTAAAAGTGTCATCGACGTCCTTTTGTAAAGCGGAAATGTGTCGATTTTTGGTTTCAGCGCACCATTTTCCAAACTTTCCATGAAAATCTCTGCCTGGAAATAAGCCCATAATCACACCATCTTGCTGTCTGTAAACATGTTGGTGAAGTAAAGAATAACCCCAGCTAATTAATTATTCTTGTCTGCTCAACTTAATGTAAACACACACACACACAAATAATTATATATGATTCTGACTGTACAGCTAAGTGAAGGAATTCGCCGAAATGAGACCGCTTACTGAACAGTTTCTTCTTATATTCACGTCTGGACAAGTATTTTTTGTGAATTAAATAATCTCACTGTAGTACAAGATTACTGTGTGCTGTTCCTTATTTTATAAAGCTTCCTCAAATATTATTGGTGGCTAAGACGACAGTCTTCGATACGAAGTCATGTCTTAAACAAGTATTTCTGTATTATTCACCTTTTTGTGCTGTATATTTTCATGCTTAGTATTTTATTCCTTTTGCTTTATTTACTAGTACATTGGAAACTATCATTTACATTTAAATTAAATAAGTAGTATTGAAGGGTTTGTCGCGAAAAACCGTCAAATTTTTCCTTTTTTTCGCTGTTTATTCATCTCTTATTCTTCAATTCTCCTTTTAATAATTAGTGTGAATAGAATGAATAAAAACCTAAAATTTCTTTGTTAATTAATACAATATGAAAGGAGATATTATTTTGTTTTTTTACTTGACTCTGAATGAAAGATTTCAAATGAGAATAAAATACCTTTGATCTATCGAGCTGTCGTCTTCTTTTAACTGTTTGATATATAAACTCTACAAGAGAACAAATTGATATATATATATATATATATATAATGTTGACGCAAAGTGAATAAACTCCAAACCATAGTGATACGAATGTTTAAAATTAGCTGATTTGTTACAGTCGCTAGTCAGAATCGCTTTCAAAAAATGAAAGAATTCATCAGACAAGTAAAGTTATAGCTTGGAGAAAATGACAATACTCGGTATTCTGCTAGGCTGTATGACTCTTTAAGTACACTAGATTTCCCACAAAATTATTCCAACATATTTGAATAAGTTGAAAACATCATGGATATTAGCAAACTGTCTCTTCTTGAATTAAACTATTTATCTAGTTGCAATCTTCTTTCTTCCTTTACGCACCCAGTAGAACATATGGCTTCAAGCTAGAGCTTTGAAGTTTCGTTAGGAGTGGTGTTTTTTTTTGGGGGGGGAGGGAGTTGCTAACCTCATACTCAACCTTCCCTCTTTATCAGTCTTATTGCCGGCTTAGATTTAGGAGTGCGTTGGCCGGCGATCGAACTCCAGACCATATGTGTGGTTGGCGAGCATTCTACAGCTAAGTCACCGATTACTGCAATAGTCAGCGACATTATACGCATTTTAAAATCAACAAAAAAAATTCTACGTAGATTAAGTGACCACAATTTAAAACCTTGGTGCTACTAAATGTGAACACCATATTCGTTGACATTTCATCGGTAATACTCGGAACGGTGAAATTATTGAAAATAAATCTAAATTCTTCTGAGTAAAAAATAAAATGAACACCAGAAAGAAACACGAACCTGATACTGATCTCGCAGTTTTCAAATATCTGCTTGGGATATATTTTGTTCGTCATTGTTTATTATTATTACGGTCCTTTTCAGAGTTCTAGGCTTCTCCTCACATTTCCTTCTTCAATGGGTTTTCCGATAGTACTTATATTATGATTGCTCATTCAAAGACATGATCTATATAACACACATATATTTTTACTTTTCCTTATTTACAGTGCTGTATAGACAATAATTTGGAAATGTGTAGACTCCTTCTCCGATACGGTGCTAATCCTAATTCTCGTGACACGGAACGATGGACTCCATTGCACGCGGCAGCTACATGCCATCATACAGAAATGTGTAAACTTTTAATTGACCAGTAAGTCTAACTGAATTGTTTTTGATGTTTCTTTTTGAAGCTATGCAGCAATCTTCTACTATGAACTCTTGTGACTGTTAAAACTAAGGTCCACTTATTAGATTTTTTTCCTCACTTTAAAACTATTCACAGGAATATATTCACGGTCTCACATTTATCGGGTCTCACGTTCAGTCTAACACATTAGAGTTATTTTGTACTGTCATTCTGCCTGTAGTGGTGTATGATGTGTTGTCTGCCTAGTACCCGAAGGAATTCTGATTTAAAGAGGAATACTTAAATTCCTATATATTCCTTATTGTTTATTTAAATTTCGGTTAGTGCCAACAATAAATGCAATAACGCTTTAATACACTTAAACTCTGTTATAAAATGAACTGATCATAAAATCCTGATAATTTCTGAACAAACTAACAATAAGTTATGGATTTATTGTTAACTTTCTTTTTTCATTGAACAACCAATCACTACTTCACATCTCTGTTTTCTGATAAAGTTCATCGTGGCGTTTTGATACAATCTGTTCACGAGTTTATTTCTTTACTAGTATGGTTGACAGTCGATATCGCATAAAAACTTGGAGACGTCTGCAATACAAACTTAAATAAAGTTATCTTCGAAACATTCGCTGTCTAATATTGAATTTGAGTGAATACTTAAGTGTTATCCTCTTTCTACGAGCTAGCTGATTTATCTGTTCCTGAAATAAAATTTATTTATTTTTTTCCTCAGTATGTTTTTTTTTCTAAAGCACTACTTATATTCATGTTACTGTAGTCGCCGTAATTTGCGACATTTTCCTAGCACGATTTCTTGTTTTACGATTTGTCGTAGAGGAGAGCTGGATGTGATATTATGTTGGCAGATAGTGTCTAATTGTTACTTGCTATACAGGTACCTTCTCATGTTACCTTTTATGATCACTTTGTTTTTCGAAAAGGAAGCAATATAACATCTTCATAGCATCACCTCCTGGGTACAAAAATCCAACAGTTTACGTGTATTTGGCTTAGTTTGCAGTATGGACACTAAAATTACTTTTCACTTTATTTAAGGAAATAACTCAACTGTTGAATATTGCATATACCTTAATTTCTCGTATGTTAACTAAAAACTATGAGATATCTTTTTCACTTAACATAGACGACTATATTGCAATCAAAACGTCGTGTAGTACTTATTCATCACCAGAGATTGTTATTAATTGCTGACAAATATATTTCATTACTGTCCATATGCGCATTTTGTTTACTGTATTTGGTATCACTAATTTGAGCAAAGTAATTGTCTGAAATTCCCTCAATAGGACAAGGAATTGTTCCGAGTCGTTCCAGAATATCCAGTAATATAAATAAAGAGTTTAAATGTTTTTTTGGGTTCAAAATCCTCTGTCCTTATTACCATATTAGTGATAAGGCCAACTCTTACATAACAAGTGTTTTCCCCTGCCTCAGGGCCCAAAGTGACATATAACTTATGTGGTGCATTCAGGCACGAGTTGTTTTTGTCATTATGCATAAATAATCTTGGGTTGTTACCTGTTCAATGAGATCTAAATTTCTATACTTCTATCAATGTCTTCTTAAGTGACGCTAGTGTATTGTTACTGACTTTTACTCTATAAACCTTATTTTTACTTTTGATGAGGTCTGGACAGAAAACCAGTCAGGGAAATCTAGCGAAGTACAATATTTTATTGTGTCACGAATTAACTGTTTTACTCGTGAATGTTTGGATATAAAGACGGATTTGTTTTCTCTGAGGCAAATGCACACTGGAATGAACACACACACACTTGTGCATACACACTTACCGGGTGTAACGATAGTTAAGCCTGAGCTGACATTTTTGATTTCTTTTTCCACTTTCCACCCCACCCACGAAATAAATGAAAAATTCCTACTCTGCACTACAAAAGCGGTGTTTTAATGTTTTCTCAATAAAATCTTTTCAGTGTTCTTACTGGTGGTAATGAAAGGAATAATAATGGCAGTGTAAGAGCAACAGTGAACATATGAATCATCCCTCAGATAGCTTTAATTTGAGATGAATGAAATAGAAGTGAGTTGCTCACTCTATCAGAGTATTGTATTAGCTGGATAATTACGAAATACCGATGGAAACGTTTAATATTTATTTTGGGAGTGGACTGTAACAGTTTGTTTCATCAATGTATGTATATACAGTCGATGTGTACATACTACATATGAAAAGACACAAATACAGTGAACCTTGATGATTGGTTTGTTTGCAAACATTCATGCAGCTAGTGTATAGTTATTAAACGATGGTGTTAAATCAATATTCATTTTGAGAAAGTCGAAATGATTTCAGGCTAGTTTCATTTCTTAATAGTAGTGAAAGTGATTTCCTCTCGATACTCCCGTTGTTTGGGCTGATTTTAGCAGTCCTATCTGCGCCAATCTTTGACTGATTGTAATATCAATGCTTATATATCCTGTTTTTCATTTTCTAACAATTTAGGTATTCATGATTATGTTACAACTCATAATTCAGTGAATTTCATTACCATGCTTTATATTATATATGTCCAAACCAAGTTCACTTTTAACAGTTTGAAAAAATTTGGGCATTGAGTATATGATATTCATTATAACAATTGTTTTTTGTATCTCCAAATGAGTGAAAAACAAAACCATATTGTTTTTGCTGACACTTCACTGTTTAATGCTAATAGCTTTATTAAAGTATTATTAAACCAGAATTTACAAAATCTCAGCATACATATATATATATATATATAACAATTGAATCATCGTTCATCAGTATGGGGTTATTTTTGTGTTGTCAAATTGGCCAGTTGGTAAAGATAATAAAACCAGATGTAGATTGTTGGATTTGATAAATGTGTAAAAGTATAAAAGCAGCGTGTGCTCATGTAGTGAAATTGCTTATCACGTTCGTGCAGATTTTGTCATTTCATGGGGGGGGGGTGTGATCACCAGATCACATTCTGTTTCAGACCATAATTCCTATTCAGACAATTCGGATTCCACTTGGTATGAAGTGCTTCTGATATCAGACATTCTTTGGGATTTCTGAAATTATTCTGGATTATTTCAATATTGTCAGAATCAATTTCGTGACTTGATTCTAGAGCGTGTAGACCTATGGCTGATGGAATTTCAAGCTTTTCTAGTTCAACTGGATTTCTCGTTAGTTAAACCAATTGGCCAATTTGATAACGCAAAAATAACCCCATACTGAGGAACGATGATTCAATTGTTATATATATATATATGCTGAGATTTTGTAAATTCTGATTTAATAATACCTTGATTAAGCCATAAGCATTAAACAGCGAAGCGTCAGTACAAACAATATCGTTTTGTTTTTCACTCATTGGGAGATACAAAAAAACTTTATTATCATGCTTTATAATCTGAAAAATAAGTGTAAAACAGTATAACAAAGTTTTAATGATTGAAACTACAAATATAAGTGGGCAAACTCGAATTTTGTCTGACTTACCAACAGTCGTCGTTTTAGACGTGAATACCTACATAAATACTTCTTATTTATCAGAGTTAAGTTGTGTAACCATACTTGTAAGAAAATTGCCTACTAAATTTTGGTTAGCTAAAAGTATATCGTAACTGTAATTTGTCTTTTTTTATACTTTTTATATGCGTCGTATATTTTAAAAGTGTCATAACTAAAAAAACCCTTTTTCCTATTACGTCTTTAGCGGTGCAGATCTTCTCGCTATGAATGTGGATGGTTATATGCCTTATGAGTGTTGTATGCCTGGTCAAACCCTGAATCTAATTGAAATGGAAATGGATAAAAGAGGTTAGTATAATTTCATTGGTGAATTACACAGTTGATAATGTGTATATAATCTTAACGAAAATGCCTACAAAGTTACACATTTGACTTCAGTGGCGACTTACCAGTGTACAGAAAACCAGTTTATGGTATACAACTAAGTGATATTCCTCACAAAAACAAGCACACGCTCACTTGTTTTCACCCGTTAAAGGTACATATACAGCAACTCAGTAGGAGTTTTGCATTCTAACGTGAAACATATTTCCTAAGGTGGTTATTTTAAAAGTTGACGATTATTAAAATGAAGTCAATAGTTTTCACGGTATTTTTCTCTATATCACTCAAAATGATATTTGAATACCATTCAAGTCTCGAGAAACACACTTCTTAAACGTCATGCTACATAACTGATTATGGAAACAAAGATTACACGTCTTTGCTATCGATTTAACAAATGTATTAGGTAAAATAAGTCTAACAACTACATATAAGCTGCACTATGTTTATTTATACTGAAGACCAGTCAGGGTGAATAGAAAAGCAGAAAGCCTGTGCATTGCTAGGTGATATCGGTTATTCTCATTATTGAGTATATTTGTTGGTGCATTTATGCGTTTTCACCCTGAATTATTTGAGCTATTTCTCCATTTTGTTTTTGCTTCTATGTTGAAACGACTCGTTGTGATTGGCTTACCACATAAGCACAAATAAACACTGCATAATTTGTCTGTCTATAGTCTAATGTGACCTTGCTTCTAAACCAAGAGACAACATTTACATATAGACAGAGTGATGCATATATAAGATTTCATTAGAGCATTCATATGTGTTACATTACACCGATGTGTATGCGTGTTTGTGTGTAATTATTATATGAAATCGATTTGGAGCGTTGAATTGATAATGCACGACTTAAGATTACATTTCACAATCAAGAATGTTATTTGAAACAGTTTATTTGATTAACAAACAGACAACAATAAAATGCGGTTTTTCATTGTTGTCTGACTTCTAATTTATATAACGTAGACAAATAACTTTACATCAGTGAGTTGAAAAGAATTTCAGTAGTTGTTTTAGCTTCTGCTCTCTTTATTGTCAAGCACACTATCTCATTAGTTTTGTTCACTTCTGCAAGTCTCTCAGGGAGACAATAGTTCATTTGCCATCATCGGTTGGTACAAAACTTAAAACCCCAAGATGGCCACTTAGGAGACGGAATCTCTATATCCCCACTACAATACTGATCTATCTTCTAACAAACGTCTTTCAAATCTCATCATTAAAATTGTAAAAAATTGTAATAAGCATTGTGCAATCAATTGTCTGTTACATTTTATTTTTTTCCAAAAAATTATCTAACATGGAATTTCATGAGTTGTTAACGGCGAGTTACATATATAAGAGTGCGTAAGAATTTAATGACGTTTTAATCAATTCACCTACAGAAATATGTGTTTCTTGTGATCAATCTCAAGAATTATTGGTTCAAACACTTAGTTGCTCAGTTAACCTTAACAGAGTGTATTTCTGCTCTCAAAACTTTGTTGTACACAGAAAACACTTTACGCCATCAATTCTAGTTTTTTTTTTTGCAATAGTATTGATGCGTCGATGACACAGTGGTAGAATGCTCGCCAACCGCACATGTGGGGTTCGATCCTCGGCCAACACACTCATTTACCCCGCTAAGCCAATAATAAGACCTGTAAGTAGGAAAGGTTGGGCATGAGACTAGCAACCCCATCCTGAAAAAACAAATACTACTGCTACCGGAACTTCAAACCTCTAGCTTGAAGCCCTATGTTCCACTCATAATGCAAAGGAATAAAAATTTTAAAAAATCCATAATTCATTTCTTGCACTATTTTGAGGGTACTTACATCTCGCTGTTTGAATCTCTTTTTTAAGCGATCGATAATTATTTTTAGTTTCACTAAACACATGAAACAAGAAAGGTGTTTTGCTGTAGAATCATAGTGTGTTGTGCATTATCTGTTTTCAGTTTCCGGTTGGCATATCGATTCTCTTTAGTATAAACTAAAGTCTACCTGTCACTAACACGCTGATAATATTTTTATTATTATGGATTGTCCAAAAACTAATTGTAAGCAGTGAATCACACAAAAATATCTTTCTATCAAGATCAAGCTTTAGAATAAGCGTACCTAGTGTGTGTGTCAGCCATTTCAAAGATGCCTACTTATAATCTCACCTCCCACTATGAAGCTTCCTCAGTGAATAACTGTAATACAAATCTTCGATTATCTGAATACACACTGATATCAGATATATGTAGCTAAAGCATATACATACTGTTTACTTTTTGCATGAGGATGAAAGTTCAGCAAATCATCTACCTTTGTTAGTTTATTGGATATTGTTAACAATCGACTACCCAAGTTCGAAATTCCTCTTAATCGCTGAGTTATGAACTATGTAACTATCATCGCATATCTTATCGAGGCGACAAAACGGAGAAGACAAAATTTATTTATCTTGGTATGGTGAACACTAACTGAAAATGTATTATTATTATTTGCGTCAGTGGCATAGCGGTTAGGACGCTCGCCGACCATGCACATCGTCTGGGGTTCGATCCCCGGCCGACGCACTCCTTTACCTCGCTAAGCCAGAAATAATTCTGGTAAAGAGGGAAGGTTCGGCATGAGGCTAGCAACCTCATCCTGTAAAATAAACATTGCTACAGAAACTTCAAGCCAATAGCTTGGAGCCCTATGTTCCCCTGCTGAACGTGAAGGAAAATAAAAAAGATTGTTCCCTTGGGTTTCTAGTGGAACATAGGTATTAGCTAATTATTTTATAGAACCAATAAATGTCAAGTTTCGTGCCGATATGTAGTCTCCACTTACACCTATTAACAGTAAACTAATAGATTACCATTTTTATGGCATGGCACATGAATTAAGCAGAGATATAAGGTTCACACTGTATATACTTATCTACTATAGACAGACATGTTATGCTTACATTAACAAGCGTTAGGATACTGTGATTCATTTATTTAACAATCATTCATTAGGTTAATTATCAGAATGAATAGAATATATATGTTTGAACTGAATTTCTTTGGAAAGGCATTTAGGCTATTCATTGCAAGTATAATTAGCGTCTACCCGTTGACAAGAATACAATCGAATAATACTTACCCTCAGTAAAGAGTTTATTATGAAGCCTTAAGATAACGAAACTGTCACAAATTGCATTGTATAATTAATACTGCTACATTTTACCGGTGTTTTTACTCTCTTATAAGCACTGTAATAATTTAAAAGTGTTATACTGATGAGGGTTTTATTGAAAACTAATCCAGAACCCATTAGCAGCTGACGATAAGATGAACTCCTTGGAATTCTAACGCGAATTCGTGAACTGTTGGATGAATCAAGTCGGCTGTGAACACAGATGCTCAGAAATTATAATAGATGGTAATATCACTATATCGGAAGCTAAAAGTAGTTAGATTAAATTACGATCTAGTGACTGAATGATAATATGTTCCCACCTTCAGCTGAAGATCTTCAATTCGATCCTTGGTAAGTTCAATGATATGTAACACTGTATAGTCTGAAACTAGAACGAACTAGCGGTTCAGCATCTTCTGGTTTTCAATGGTTGTCTAGGGGGTGGAGACATATCCCTATAAAACGAGAACTTTTTGATGAAGGCAACTTCTTAGCATGAAAATACTATCCGAATTTCACACTATTCAAAACTTGTTACTCAATTCATTGTAATACAGCCAGCAGTATTAGAATGAAACTTGTATTAGTAGTATAGTTTGCTTAGAAAATAACTGTTCACTATCCATCCGTTTTAAAATAACTCTTCATCTGTTTCAACTTTTTTGTTCTCATCAGATACATTTGATAAAACCAGCGTGGGTGAATGGCAAAATGCCATTTCTGTCTGATAATTCTTAATAATCATTTGATTTATCTTTAGCTTTCTGTTCACCATCCTAGTCCATTTTTTGAAAGTTTCAGTATATAATCTTTTCTGTAATCAGCTAAATGTATACCTTGTGCTTGCACCGTTAGTGATGCAAGATACATATTTGTAGTTTCTGATGCCTTCTTACTGTCATACTGACAATCATTTTCTGAAAATGCCAAAGTTTATGAAGGCGATATTATCTGTAAATTTGATTTAGTTAAAGTAATATTTTTCGGTGAACCTATGTGTAGTTCTTATTTGCATTTATCCCATATGAATAATTTGTCACTAGTCAAGTTTTCAGTCTTCAGTAAGTTGACTTTTAGTCATTTATTTGTCAGAAATGTCAAGTTCAATTTGTAGTTTATAAGACAAAATGAGCCCACTGCTTATACCACAGCATATCATTTCTACCATCTCATTCACATACATCGGAGTGGCCCTAAATTCTATTGAAATTTTTTTTAAATCGACTACTTATGCATGCATTCTCCGAATAGACAAACTGTAATCATTTTGATCAACTAAAATAAATGCGTCACGTTACAGTTTTCATACATGAAAGCAATAATAAGAATGGGGATGTGGAATGTCCGTATACTGTATAAGGCTGTGAAGGCTGCCCAGGTAGCCGAAGAAATGCATAGCTATGGCATCCGCGAGAGCAGATGGAATGGATGTGGGCTATCAGAATTGCCAACTGGAGAGTCAGTAATCTACTCCAGTTTTCACACCCAGACGACAACGACGAGCACACTCAAGCATATAGTGGCGATCATGATGTCGCTACTGGCAGCCAGAGCCCTACTAAAATGGAAACCAATATCATACTGCAGGATCATGACAGCAACATTCAGCTCAAAAGGAATCAAGGAGGGTTACAATTATTATGCAGTGCTACGCACCGTGATACCGACAACGCATAACACACAAATATAAACAGTAACGGACAACATCCCGAATGGTGACATGAAGATCCTCATGAACCGAAATGTGAGCAGATATTACACTAAGAGAACTCATCATTTGTCGAGACGCTCTCATCTGGCGAAATGAATGACAACGGAGAATTATTCGCAGACTTCTACGCTTCCAATGATTTTGTGATCGGATTTCGCTTGACGGACACACCACAAACCAGATAGACTTCATCTCAATATTACTCAAAGAAGCGGAGACTCAGCGAGCCTGCTTGACACAAAGTCAAGAAGGAGCCCAGATGTGGGTGGGCTCAGACCATCATCTAGTTCAAGGAACCTTCAGGGTGAAGCTGAATTCCCTGAAAAAAACTGAAGACATACCGCAATTCAAGTTAATACAGAACTTCGCACGGAACAAGCTGAATTCAGAAAAGGCAAATCATTGACTGATCAGTTTCAAACTCTCTTCATCGTCATCACAGAACAAAGCAGAGAACGCCAGTCAAACCTGTACAGTAACTCCGTCGACTTCGGAAAGGCCTTGACCGAGACGTAATTTCAAAACTGATTCAACACTATGGCGTACCTCAAATTTGTATCAACTTCATTCAGCAGCTGGCTACGTGACTGTGCCACGTGCTAGGTGATCCACAACGGAAAACTCAGCGAAGCTACTGAAGTGAAGACAGGAGCAAGACAAGCTGACTTCCTATTAGCACCGATGATATTCTTAATTCTGGTGGACTGGATTATGCATCAGACTTTGCAATGGGAGTTAGATGACAGGAGTACGCTGGGCCACCGATAAGAAGACTCCAGAAGATCTGGATTTCACGTGTGGATGACATATATGTCTAATGTCACACAAACTCGAAGATTTGCAGGCTGGCAAAAACCAACACACTGGTAGAAGAGGAAGGCAGCGAAGACAAGACACCATCCAGGTAAAAATAGAGAAGACGAAGTGATGAAGATAACCAACGAACCACCACCACCACCACCACAACAACAACAAGCTTCAGTCACCATCAAAGGGAGAGATTTCAAGGATGTGACTTCCTTCACTTATCTAGGAAGCATCGTTTCAACCACTGGTGTAACGGATGAAGATGTCAAAGGAAGCCCACAGCTGAAAGTAAAGATACGCCTTCATCAACGTGAACCCAGTTTGAAAATCTTTTGCTTCACTCAGTCAGCGTAGAGAACAAGATTCAGACGTTCAACATAAATGTGAAGTCAGTTAGTTCTTCTATACGTGTCAGAAACGTGTAATTCGTGTCACGAAAAGCATTTCCAACAGCTTGTTGCAGACTTTCATCCGTTGGATGACATCGCTTGCAATGAAAGCTATCACTCGAGAGGAATCCAAATGGGAAGTGACGAGTGGGTGGTCGGTGCGAGGGTGACATGAAGGGGGTTGTATGGCGAGGAGGGGGTAGATGAGAGATTGTGGGCAATCGTGGGCCGTGCTGAAGAGGATCTCAGAAAATAGAACAGAGTTGAGAAGTGTTGTTGAAGCGTGGAACCCTAAAGGAATATGAATATAGAATACCGTTTTCGTACACTGATATGGAGATGATGTAGAACACTATCCAACGTGGCTGCAGAAGGGTAGTATTCGCCGTAAAATGAGTGCAATGAACAAACACCTCGCCACCATTGGTCATTTCTTCTCAACGAACGCTTTCTTCACAATAGTTTACAAAGTGAAGAACAGCCTGTTGAATACAACCCGTCACCGTCTTCTTTGCATTTCAGACGCCCTAACCATTCAGTTAAAATTACCAGAACTATGCATACAACAGAAAATCATTCATCCACTTCTACTACTATGGTAACAACTCAGTTGATTTGACTTAACTTTTGCCTGTTTACTTCTTTTTCTAACTATTTAAAACTCTCGTATTCCTTCAAAACTCTTACGTAATTCTGTACTTTTTTATTTCCATGTTCTTCCTCAGCATAATTCTTTCATCAAACTATTCATGATAATATCTAACTCTTCTTTAACAATCATTTGTGACAACTCATCACTTTTGTTATTACCGTCTTAAATCAACACCAAATTCAACTAAATACTTTATGTATTATGTAACTCCACCAAAAACTTACTAATAGTATTTTCGTTTGACGAAGTTAATGCAAATACACAAAAAACAACCATGTATATTTACCACCTTACAGGTGTGAAAATGGATTCGCCTAGAAGAGACTCTTTGCTGAACTACTGGTATTCTCTCTATTAAAATCGTAATGTAGCTGTATTTCGGCGTAAAGCAATGAAGAGGATAACGTTGCCTTTGGTGTACATATATAACTGTTCAATAATAAAATGATTTCAAAAGAAATTATACACATACATGTAATTATTTTCTCTCAGTCCGCATTTCGTAAAAGCGCACTGGCTTGTTTTATGCCATCGAATTAGTTATTTTGGAAAGGAATACTTTTTTGACAGACATTTTTACACTGTCTTATACTTTGCAGTCAGTGAGCCCATTATTATTATTATTGTCATTATATCCTTTAATTCCTAGACTAACATAGGGCCCATAGTTACGCTTATTTTATCTCGATTTGTTATCTTCCTCTTTGATTTTTTCTATAAACTTTGACAACTCTTAGGATTTGTAATGCTGATGAAAAAATGAATGTCCAAACTAACCCACAACTTGCTTACGCAAAGTCACAGACATACAAAATTTATTGCCATCATTGTGATAACATCGGTTCTGTCTCTAGCTGATGAACTTTTATAGTTCTACTAAAGTACACAAGTGATATGGTGATATCTGATTACTTCGCATTTTCAATAACTTATAAGATAATAAATAAATTCACTGAACAACTTTATCACAAAATGTTGATATTTTATGTAGACACTCTCAGTCGCATTTCAGTTTAATAATTCCGAAATTATATACTCTCAGACTGTCTTCAAAGCTTTAAGCACCGGTGCTGAAATGGTTGTTCGTTTAAAAAATGGAAGACTAATCATCAATGCTTCTAATGGTGACATGAATTTTATTAGCTGGTCGTACAATTTCTTTACTGGATAGAAATAGCTGTGGAAATAGTCTAAATATATTCGACACATTCCGTCTCTACAATCTATATAACAAAGTTATAAAGACTACTTATTTACTTAAGAAAAAAAATCCAGAAACATAGAAAAACTAATAGGGTGGTAATGAGTCTCTTGATTATAGTTAGTGTGAATATTTGGACGCCTTAGTAACTACATACACACACATACACCTAAATAACTATCTTGTCTGCACATTCAGCTCAAAGTAATTATCTTGTTTTCCCTATCATCACTAAAATTGTGATGAGTACTTTTTAGGCTGAGTGGTTTGTTATTTATAGTGATTTATAAGTGTCTTTTTTGTCGCTTTATTTTTTCATCAAAGGTATTACACAAGAGGAAATAGATGACTGGCACAGAGTCCCAGAATGTGAAATGCTTGCAGATATGGAAGCATTATATAAAGCTGGTGCTGATCTTGATATGTTAGATCCACAAGGTGCATCAATGGTAAGTTGAAAAAAGATTTGCAGTATTGCTTAAGTACTAAAGGGATAATTTTAAGCCACAAATCTGCGTTTTAATCTGGCTATTAATAGTTAGTACACACTATACTAATGGTAAAATGGAACTTGTTGTCTAACTCCATCAGTATGAACTAAGACAATATCTTCCATATGTTGTTTCATCACTTCATGAGTTATGGTTCCCCTATGTGACTTAATAAGCCTTATTCTTTCGTAGTTATTAGCTTCAAATAATTTATTATAAATACTCCGTAACTACCAACAATAAGATTAAAGAACCTAATCAGTGCAGCTTTAATGTGTTTGTTCAATTTTCCACCATCATTGTTTGTTATAACAATTCATTTCTATATTTCACCATACTCTCTGAATATGCTGATTCTCATTTAGTTTGTGCCGCTATCGCGATACTGTTTTCCACCGAAATTCTTGCTGTTACCATGAGAAATCATGTGATAAATAGTTAAAACAGATATGCATTAAAATTTGACCAGTGGCTTATATATATGAGTAGTCTTGTGAAACTGAGAATTTTCATTGAGGATCCTCCTAACAGTTAAAATTCTATATAGGATTTTTTCTGTTTAAGCTAATGTTGCTTAAAACCGATAAACTTCCTACTAAGATAACGCTTAGAACGAAACAGAAACGTATGTATTAAAGTTTGCGTAAAGTTGTGGCTTAAGCAACTGACTTTCTTTCAGTGACCCTCGGGTTCTAATCCTGTATTACTTATTATCACTACACCTCACATAATGATTGTGGCTAACGACCATTCAATACCATAGTGTTTAGATAATTTTGAATTGCAGTAAAATTTATTAGTTTCTAAAATTTGTAGTGTTTGTAAGCACTACAGGTTACAAAGATGACCACTGCTACCGAATCTTGAAAACTCAAACTTGGAGCCTTTTTAACCCGAAACGTGGAGGAATATAACAAAACACACAACACATCCTTCTAGACTTTGGCAGTTCTGGGGTTAGAAAAGATTAAAGTTGTAGGCACTACGGGTTATGACTATTAAGATCTGAAGTTTTAACAATGACACATCAGATGGGGTAAGAATTGTCTATCATCATACTTCATTAGATTGTAAGTCAGTTCAAAGTATACTTAATGCATATTGTGTAAAATGTCTACATCTACTACCGGTTTCCACTGTCTGTTAGCCTCCGAAATTATTCTGCATTCTCAATACAGTCTTTTGGAATCACCCGGTCAGCTGTAACAGTTAAAATGTAAAAAACTAAGTGATTTTTGTAGCTCATCTAACAAGGATGATAGATTTGGTCTGAGCTGAGCAGTGATAAAGTATGTTTCCTCAACACTTCAGTGTGTCCACTAGTGTCTTCAATGGTGCACACATATGAACCCACCAAAGGTTTAAATCAAGAAATTCTGGTGATATCTAGGCGAGTTTACCAATTAAACATTTGGTCAGAATGCAAAGGCCCACGAATTCCAGTTTCCGTCAATTTTAGAGCACAATTTAATATGATTCGTGAATATTTGCCCATACACCTGAAGACTTTTGGCCCTATCCCTAGTAAAATCATGAATGCCCACTATAAGAAAGATTCAAACCGTGAAGGAACGCCTCTTCATTTCTCTTTGGTGTTTGGAATGGATTGTGATGAAATCTGCTATGAAGCTATTTTAACTACTTGCAATTTCTATATTATCAAAATTGAACTACGATTTGCTCATGATAAAGCGTGCAAAATCCTAGGAATCCATTCACAGGAAACTGTTGACCTAGATTTCATTCTTGTTGGCATTCAGAAGTTCTCTGTATAAGCTTCGGTGATAAGCACTGAAACAGTAGTCAAGAAAAAGAATCACTGCTTTTTTGCGAAAAGCAAATTGAGACCGTACAGTTAAAACTTACACATTTTTGCCTTATGGGGAAATTTTTCAACATGATTAACTGTGAATAAAATTAAACTGAGCTCATGGTCTGTAAAAAAGTAAAGAGAGGGAGATTAATCACAATCCATTGGTGAATATGCACAACGTTAGAGGTGTGAATTGTTTTGCTGCTCGGAATTTTCCAAGAGTATACTTTCATCTAGCTTTTGTAATACATTTTACTTTGTCTGTTATCATTATCGTTTTGATTGAGATGTATACACTGCCACTTTTATACAGCATGAAGTCTAATCGAAGTATAAAATACATTTTTGTTTATCTCGGTAACTCAGTCTAGACACACTGTTAGAAATAAGACTTCACAATTATTTTTCAAACTTTATCGAAGTCAATTAGTGATTGCGTGTTCAGAGTAAATATTGTGGTTGATAATTTTGTTTCATATATTTGAAAAGATTGACTGTTTGTTTTGCTTTTCTTTTGGTGTAACATAATTTATTTTCTGTCTGACTCGCTGTAAAGCCACGCGATGGACAAAAATGGTGAATGAATTTAAACAGCATAATGAAATATAATAAGAACCACTGAATTGAATTTCTGATTTTCCCGTCGATTGATTGGACCGAAGTGCTCGGTCTCAGGTTGACATGTCGGCTTCTTGTGCAGATGCTTCGACGATGTCTGGGCATTTAGTTAGTATACAATTGGTGGATGGTGGCTAGCAGTGGAATCCAGGATGCGCATTTCGTCCTATTTGGGACTCGTCAGAACCACTTTGTCACTCCAAGTTTTTGAGGTTTGATTTGAACATATGTCGGTTCATTAATTTCTTTGAGTTGACTCACATGGTGATTTAGCTTTTGGGTTGCTGAATATCAAATTCTGTATAAAAATTATTATTCACATTAAATTGATTATTATTTTTGAAAATAAAAGCATAGCTAAAATATGGCATCGTTATAGTAGTGTTTATATAATGGATGTTAAATAAAAATCGTTGAATTCGGATTAGCTGATTACCATTATATGATTCACTGTGTTGACTTGTACTATTGTATGGGTATTTACTTAGTGTCGAACTTTACACCCATTTTACTTAATCAACCCGTTAGAGAGGGAATACTTAAGTACCGAGATTCAGTCATCTTTACTTTTGTTAACTTCCAGTTGGAATGCTCACCGTTGCTATCTGGTTGGTTTAATATGCACTAAATCTTGCTTGCTTTTCATTCCCATGAACACTAATAGTTTTTCTCTGAGGTAGTTCGTTTTGTCCCTCGTTGTATATAGAAACATGGCCTTCTATACGATTTTTAACTTATAAGTCTAGTGTACAAGACCTTCCTCATATGTTTCCCTTCAGAAGGACAGGTGATACCACAAGCCTTCGCATGCATTAATTATTAATTATATACAAATAAAAGGAAAATAATTTTCTTTATCTATCTGAAACTTTTTTGACTGTCAAGTTTCATTTTCATGCAAACAGTAACAATTCACTCAACCCTTATTATTTTTCCAACCACTTTTTGTTGTTTAAGGGTTCATTAATAAATAAATCTAGTGAATATATTTTCCTATTCCATTTATTACTTAATAGTAGTCATGAAACACCATTATTAAATTTCACAGTTCCCACCACCCATAATGCATACACTCTACTTCTTTTGTTAAAATAATATTGCTGATGTTATACCTACTAAGTTAAAGTATCACTGGAATTAACTTTTAGTATTTCATAGTTCTTTTTAAGTACAATTTTTTTCAAGAAAAAACATTTCTAAATTTTATTGATATCGTCATTACTTTTCTAGCTGATCTTGATGACTTTTCTAGTGCAAATTAATGTTCCTCACTTTTTTCATTTTTCTAGCCCTCTCTACATTTGTTGTGGTTTTCTTCCTAAATAATAATAATAATTCCACACACTCGACCATACACCATAAAGGTTTAATAATATTGTTACCTGATAGTTGAGTCTTTAGTGATAGAAATTACATCTTGTTGTGAAGGTGCGACATCTAAATTCACTACTTTTCCCACAGTTAGTCAGTATCTTCAGATTATTCTTTTTCTTCGGTTACATTTTGTCTTGATCACCCACCTGTTTGGCATATTCATTCACGATTCAGTGGTTTTGCCATTTTTTGTTACACAGTTTGTTAAGAATAAAACCGTACAATAGCATTGAGTCATTTAAAGGATAATGATCACTTATATTTGGATTTTTGAATTAAAAACGCCAGAAAATATTTTTCTACTGCTTTTAAGAACCAATTTAGTATATCGCTGTTTCATACAGTTAGTTAGTTAGTAAGTTAAGTAAAATTATTCAACAAAGACTGGAGACTTAAATCTTTCACTGTCCAACAAGTGATTGGTACACTCTTGGAGTGCAGTTCCAGTTGGTTAATTAATCAATATCTATAGATATGGGCATCTAGAAAAATGTATGCTGCATCCTACTTTATTTATTTTAGTACTGATATAACGTACTGTGTTACACATCTAATGCCTTTTTCCAAAACCACTCAACTAGGCTGTTTGACTACTTATCTCGGCTATTTGTTACTTCTACGTCGCTTCTTTTAGCATGTTGAGGAAGTAAATAGCTACCATTTCACTCACCTACGCATTTGCCGGCGAAACACTTATACGGCAATACAATAACGTATGGCAAAATGTGGACAGTTTTTGAAGATTTTCAATTTGATAAACTTTGGTATTAGTAAATCCCACGCAGCATTGATTTTGTCATCTGTGTAGCTGTTTCAATCAGCCAAGATAGAAAAAATTCACATGGCCGATTTCCAGTATGTCTTATCTAGTAGATTTTACTGACAATGATCAATAGAATTGTGGCCGTAGTTAACATAACCCGAAACTCTGTAAATACTTGTTGTAGCAAGCTTACGTCAGACAAACATTCAAAGAACCGTAGATGGAAATCAGTATTTAAATGTTAAGGAGACGATGAGTTGTATACTTTAGGAGTTGCAATAGTTTTCTGGAATTATGATTGTTGCATTCTTTTAGTGTGTGTGGTAACTTGTCCACTCGAAGTTCCAATCATCAAACCTTGGACATTGACGCTTGATGACAGACATTAAT